CAACAGCAGCAGCACAGTATCTGTTACTAAAGAGTATTCACATTTAATCAATATTGTAAGCCAGAGACAACAATCCTATTCTTTATAGATATAATTTGTAATAATAGATTTTTGAAGGCTTCCTGATTCCCTGATTGCTTTCAAAACTAAGCCACCGGCAACACTTAAGTTATAGAGAAACACAATCCCTGCAAAAGGTCACAGACAGTAGAGCGAGCAGCCTTATAAAAAAGGGAAGAAGAGAAATCCATAATAGCACAGGTTTACAGCATCTAACTAGAAATTACTTGATTATTTGTGTGCTACAAAATAGAACTTAAACACATGGATTTTGCTGAAACTGGACTCAAAAAGGGATTATGGGCAATTGTCAGCAGGCAAGGTATCAAGTGTACTTGTGAAGTATGTCATTCACATGAAGTGTCACAGTCACAGAAAAGATATTAAAAAGGCATTCCAATATCTGGTAGGGCATTCCATGGTCTGAGTTTAGCTGGTTCATCCAGGTGTCTTCTTGTTGTGGGTGGAGCTACATGTTGAGATTTATCCGCTTGCAACAACTCAGTTCAGAAACAGCAACGGGCAAGTCTGTGACTTGCCACAAGCTGATCCACAGACACTGCAGAGGGGAAGTCTGGCAAGGATAAATCGCTCAACTGTGCTCGGGACTCAGTAAGTCACAACACCTGTGAGGATCTGGCTATGTCGTCTTACTCTTGTTAATTGGTTTGCCGCCATTCATTATTGCAGATGCACTTGTGCTTTTACTTGGAGTTACCCCAGCCTTTGGCACTGTTTCTCCAATATCATGCAAAGATGGTTCTCGATACATGGCCACTGCAGGGAGAAAAGAGAAAAGGAGAGAGGTTATTGAGAATGTATCTCATTTAAAGCTCATCTCAAATGGGATTAATTTTCTGCAATCACTGATATTGTAATATTATCCATGTTCCTCTTGCATGTGAGGGAAACTATTTACATTGACAGACACTTGTTTTGCATGACTGATAGCTTTGCTTGACCCTCCAAATTTCTCACTTCTTCCGTATCTGACTTAAAAACACTGTAGGAAACTGTATGCTTGCTTGTTTAATGGAAACTATAGAAGCCTTGGAAATGAAAAACTACTGTTCTGTCTTTGCATGAGGCAGACACACGAAAATGTACATATATAGATACACATATGTGTGTATATATATACACACACTCCTTAAGTATATATTCTGCAAGTTTTTAAAAGTAAAATATGATGAGATAAGACAGACGGTGTTTACAAATGCGATCATACGATACAGTTGTCTAGACTTAAGTGTTCTTTTTTAGTCCTACGTTGCAAGACTAGGCTTGGGTCCAGTTCTACAAAGTTATTTGTACATCTGTCTCCCAAATCTGAGGAGCTTGGCCATGATCTCTTCAGATGTGTACTGAAGAAATGTCCAGGACAGTGCTGCGGAGAGTACACAAGAGGTTTGGTTTTTTTTTCTTCCTCCTTTCCAAAAATGTATGCAGTAGCCACTGATCTCCACTGAATGTAGAAGTGCAGAAAACTCCAAATTAAACTATTAACTGAATTCTTAGAGGAATTAAAATTTTGCCCCTGGGTTTCAGTCCCTATCTAAACACTTTAAATCCTTTGAGGAAAAGACGTGTTCCATTACACAGTTTCAGCATTAAGCTCCCTTAATGATTTATGCTCTTGGATAATTCAGTTTCATTTTCCATGCCACTGAATCAGGTAATATTTCCACTTATACCTAACTTCACTAGCATTTATTTATATCAGAGCAATGTTAAAAGAGATGTCAAAGGAATTAATCATCACACTATGATTTCAGGACTGGCTGTGTGCAGCCATAGAGAGCACAATCCCTTCATCCCTTGTCTAATTAGAGTAGGAGGCAGGAGCATCAAAGTACTGACCTTGATCTTCAATGGTGTGAAGTTTCATAATAAATATGAAGAGCCCCATAGCGTCATTAACTAATCAAATACTTGTTCTAACATTTCCAATGACATAATCTAAATCCTTTTATGGCTTCTGAAAGTCTGAAATTAAATGTCTTCTCTAGAGTACATAAGGCTGGTTATGATCTATGTCTTCAGAGTGCCCCCATGACTGTGTTTAGGACACTTTGCTGATTAATTAAAAGAGCTTGATGAAATAACACCGTGACCTACAAAAATATTAAATTGAATAACATGAGATGGAACTATAAAATAAAGAATTATGTAGCAGAGCTGTCATATTTGATGACTCTCATGGGCAATGTAAAGCAAATTATTTCTAGGCCTTGTCTAAGCTATTTTGATAGAGTCTGACCATCCAAACATTAATGAAAAAAGTCACTTCTTTCCTAATCAATATGAATTGATGTTGCTTTTAAAAATGCACTGGCTTTCCCTCCCTACAATTCTTATAATTTAATATAAAGGGATTGACAGATAAAGTGTCAATATTGTTGAGAGGTCATGAAAATACTGTAAGCTTTTGCAAGATGAGGAAAGCACGACCGCATCAACCCGAGTTCAAATATGAAGTTAAAACATAGGATTATTCAGATTCTTTCCTTATGATGAAACTCTAAAACATTTAACAAACTGATCCTTTAATCAAAAATTTTAAGTTAAAATGTTAAAAGAAATGGGACTGCTAACTAAAGCATTACTCAGGTCTGTGTTTTCAGATGTTAAGTAATGAGATAATTTTCAGAATGACTGAGGCTATGTGTAGCAATAATATCAATGAAATCTGTAGTGCCATCAGGACAAGAAGCAAAAACCAGCATATGTTTATAAAGGCCTGCAGAATACACAGGATAACCCCAAAGTTCCAAGATAAAAATAAATGTGTTTTTCAGAGAATGTGTGACATCATTTTAGTGTGTAAGGTTAGTACGACTTTTATTTGCTTCTGTCTTGGTCTAAAGGCCAACTTACACAAGTTACGTGCATTACATCAGCTGGCTAAGTAATACAGTATGATTTATTTTATGGAGAGACCTTTGTGTTTCGTGTTAGAAAGCTTTTACTTTGAAATGCTGACATTTCATTAATTCCCTTTATAACTCCCAATTATCCTACAATATCCATTATTTCATTCTGCTTAATGAAAGGACTATTTTCTCACTGCAACACTCACAACAGCTTTTGTCCCTACCGAGAAAGTATTTTAAAAACAGCACAATGCACTTCCACAAAAGATTTCTTTTCTTGCAAAATGACCTCTTAATCCCTGGAAAAAATGTTTTTACATATGCTCTTTCTAGCATCACTATGCCGAAGCACAAAATCGCTCCATGAATCCTGGGGACTGTCATTTGAATGGCCCCTGTCCGGGGCACGCACATTCACAAAGGGTATTTTAGAAACCATTCCCTCTTCTTCTTGTGAGATTTGTAGGAGGATCTGCCAACGATGGACTGAACCTCACCTTCCAATGGCTTGGGTAGAAAATGAGCTGCTGGTTTTGTTTTCTTCACTCTGTTTCCTTTCATGACCTGCCCTTCTTTGTTCAGCCCCAAGAACCAGGCCCTCCCGGACTCCTGTTGTCTGTAGAGCATGGATGAGTAGATTACATAATAATTTTCAAAAACAGACTCCTTGAATTTGCACTCCGGTGTAAAAAGTTCCTGTGGGAGGAAAAGTAAATGTTAAATGATATCTCTAAAGTGCGGCCTCTGTTTTGTTAACTTACAAATACCTCTTGATAAGTTTAATATACGACTTATAATAAGGTACTGCTTCGAGACCAGGAGATGTGTCTTCCTCTAGATGACTTCCAGGTGAAGGTATTTCACCTCCCATGGATGCCTCAGTTTTCCCATCTGTGCAACAGGGATAGTATATTTTCAAAGTAGAGAGGAAGCGACACAGGCATAAAAATACAGGCATAATTATTATTGTGCTTATTTTTCTGTTAGGATATCCTTGTAAAGATTAAGAAAGTCTATACTAAAATAGCATTAATGAGAAAACAGTTGTTCTGTTTTAAAATACTAAATGCAACAAACTCCCTCTATGATTTATAACAACTAATATTTGATGCTTAAAAAATGCTGCTACCAACATATTAAAATATATATCATTTCCTAGAGTCTGCATGGCCTGAAACACCACAGGAAAACACTATTTTGATGTACAAATTTCTGAACAAAGAAAAATAATTCCTACTGGCATCGTCAGCATTCATCCCAAAACTGGAATGCTTTTCAGAAGTCACATTCAGTAACAGGGCAGTTGTCCTAAACTCTTTACTAAGGTTAACCTAAGCATAAAATTCTGTAGCCCAGTAGCCAAATAATAATTTAAATATATATATTTTAATAACACAAGTAATAGTAACAAAATAAAGCGTGAACATATATTGAGACAAAGTTTACCAAAATCCTTTGAAAAAAAACTGGCAAGTTAATAAGCAAATAAAATTACATTTAAAATATCACGAGAAAATAGGATTCTGTATGAATGTGATTTTCTGTCTTTGGACCCATCTGCTGAAACATGTGGAGGATATGAGACATAAAGAGAGGAGGTAGATGTGGGAAGGTGGAAGGTAGCTTGCTAAGCTTTCAGAGCACAAAGTTCTCAGCCCTTAATGCTCTTTTTTATATTTCTTTCAGTTATCTTTCCCAAGAAATGAAAATCTAGAAATGTCATATATTTTCACATCTCCGTTCACAGTATTTTTCTTCCCCCCCCCCCCCTTTTTTTTTGCTCCTGGCCCCATGCAGTACTGAGTTAACGCTCAGCAGGTAACATGTTTTCAGGGTCTCTATGCCATCCCCAGCTGCCTATATATTGTAAGAATTTCACAGCTGTTTCTGTCACAGATTTCCTTTCTAGAAATCAAAGTCCTTAAAGACACAGTTCCCCATACCAGAAAGCACAGATGAAGTACTGTTCTGAATCTGCACTAAATGCCACTTAGTGCACAACCAAGTTCTCCTAATGTTATGGGGTACACGGTATTTGTATTGCCGTGGTAAGCAAAGCTGTCTTGACGGATACTAGGCATACCATTAGCTTTCTCAATTACGAAGTAACTTTTAATCTCAAACAAAAAGAATTAGTGTATTTTGTCCAGCAACAGACTAAAAGCAGTTGCTACAGCAGCTGGGAAATAATTTGTGAACCTGCTCTAAAATAGGTTGCTTTGTCTCTGTGAGCAGGTACACTTAGTGTCTATAGGTCACACTCATTTACAGGATGCAAAAAATATTCTCTGATGTGCGCAATGGCCATCTTTTTGCGCTACCACTTCTTTACCACCTATGTGCACAGCTGTATTTATATACACCTGCAGAAATACAAATACAGTCTGTACCAGAGGCACTGAAAACTAATGACAGGAAATACCTTAACTGCACGTTCTCCTTTGCCACGGGGCTTTTTCTATCTCTGTTCCAAGCCTTGAAGACATCTGTTGTTTGTGTTGCTCTCCTTTCTCCTCCACTGATTTCAAATCACAGTAGGGCTCAAGGAGACTCAAAATAAAACCAGAAGGCAGGGTGGCATGCTAGAGGGAATGCCTGTTAAAGCCTAGCACAAGCATTTGCATGCGAGTCATGTTCCTTGGCTGTTGAAACAGCAGATGCTAATCAGGAAATGCCTACACAGCTCTCCTTATTACCTGCTTCACTGCAAATGCTACCCCCTGTGTTCCCCTCTAAGTTTTACTTCCTTGTAAAGCTCAATTACCATAAACACTACTTCTTAGCCAATACCCACCTTTTGCTATAAACAAAAGCTGTTTGTCGTTCCATGCTCCTCCGTACTAGAGACGGTTGGCTGCCCGTAAACGCTGTTTGTGTGTTTTCCCAAACAATATCCATTACAATACTGAAACAAGATTCCTTCAAATCATATCCCACCTCTGAATCAGACCTGGCTCTTTCTCATTTCTTTGGCACATACAGTAGTGTTTCTGATAGTGCACAGCATATGAAGCGGTAGGTATTTACTCTACTAAGTCAAAAAAATGGATGATGTCAACACAATTACTTGGCTGCTCCTGGATGCTGACTGATAGACTGGAAAAACTGGCATCATTACTATTTTTTAGTTATGAAAAGCATAGTAATAGTCTGCTAATTTTTTCTGGCATACGAGGAAGAGCCAGACCTCAATACTGTATTCTGCCTGAAAGTACTGCAGCTATCCTACTCCAGATGTCTGGGTAGTGTAACAGCTTTGCATAGCTTTGCATTCACTCAGTATACTAGGATGCAATGCTGCCTGGGATAAACTCTCAGTCAAAAAGTCACTTAAATATGTGTTACATTAAAGCAGACTAATAGTTCCACCGATGTGGAGAGTATTCATGAATGAAAATTAGGCACCTGACGATGACTATGCTGAACTGCAGCCACCAGTTCCGCTGGGGAAAGAATTACTCAGAAAGGGACTTCCGAAATGCGCACCTTCCCTGGGGCTCAGGTGGAAACTGAATATTTCTAAGAGTGATGTCTAAAGCCTTGCCTCAGATACCATCTCAGCTGCTGAAAAGCTGTAAGCACCTATATTTTCTCCAGTAAAGCATCTGTGACACCTAAAATGCTGTTTCTGCATGTACCTAGGCCAAATCTAGATCCGTATACCTAAGACTCAACCCAGTAATAACTCTCAGAAAATGACTAACGTGCTTACAGCACTGACTTAAAAAAAATCATCCACAGCTGACCTTATTCAAATCCATTGCTGGAGGGAAAGGCAGTACAATGACATTTTATAAGAGAAACTCAATGGTGAGGGCACTCCCTTAGGCTACCTACCTATCGGTATCCAGCCTGAAGGAAATCAGATCTGCATCTGGCTGACATGAATCATTTAGATCTTCCCTGCAAGAATGACTTTTTGGGTTTTGATCCCAGGACAGTCTTTACATTTTGTATTAGGAAGTGAATGAATAAATTGCAAAACTAGATATGACTTGCAAACAAGAACTTGTGCTCAGGATTTCTCTTCAAAGGTCAGTGCCCAGATTTAACCTGTAGTCTTATATAAAAGATGGTTTTCTCTTGTCAAAGCAACATTGCAAAAATAAAGTATATACGAGCTGCCAATTTCCAAAACCCCAGGAGTGGGTTTTGGCTGTAAACTGCAATCTGATACAGCTTCCTGGGTCCTAGAGAAGTGAAAGATGTATTAAATTTCACCGTGCTGAGAAGGATTTTCACTTGGATATTTTTGCCAGCTTCCTATCAAGCTTTTGCTTCATGTGAGTCCTATTTGGAGATATTTTCATTCTCCTGGTTGCTGTAGCGTTAGTATCACAACACACAGGTTGTGGGTTCAACCTCTTGGAATCAAAAAGTTCTGTCATTGGGGAGTTCTTAGTTTTGGGGTCCCCACCAGTGTGTTGCCAAAAATCAGCATTGTAGTATTACATCATAATAGTGGAGCCTTAGCTCACAGAGTCAGGTGGTGGAATCTACTTCCATTTAAGAACAAAACACAAATGAAATAAAGAAAAAAGAGCCATTATCCACCTCTCAAACTTAGGAGTGCCTGAATGAAGGAGCTCAGGTTACCTGTGTTGTCAACACAGAGATACAAGGATTGTTGGAAAGCAATTCAGATGACAACTGAGATGAATTCCCTATGAAGTAATGTCTTTCTGTCAGTCAGAGGCTGAAGTCTGACATGAGTTACGGTTGGACTTGATGATCTTAAAGGTCTTTTCCAACCTAAATGATTCTATGACTCTAAATGATTCTGTGATGAAGCTAGGCCTCCATGCTAATCAATAATATGGCACACTAGCAAAAGGCTACAGTTCAAAACCAAAGTACAGCAAACTTTACTGTCCTGCAAGTCATTGAGTCGATGAAAATATTTGAATGAGTTATCAGTGTAACTTCCAATTGCTGGGCTTTCATAATTTAGCCTGTTCAATTTAGCTAGCTTTAATGAAGTTGCACATATCCATTTATCCATTCATAGCCATGGTCTTTCACTTAAAATAATCCCCACAAAACATGGAGTTTCTCTACTACAGTTCTCAGAAAGAAGAAATAATTATGCAGCTATGGACAAGACACCTATGCTGCGAACCACAGAGTTGCAAAGTAAAACCTAGCATGACAACACAGCTAGCCATATAGCTTCTAGATATTGTTTCAAAATTGCATGAACACCCGCAATCTTAAACTATACCTCTGTTCAGTAAGTCAATCAATAATGAACTGTTGGGGCTGAACAAAAGGTAACCTTCCACTGCACACCATGAAGGAGAGCGTAAGACCACGGCTCCACCATGGTCATCAAAACAGGCAGATCCAAGGACAAGGGCTCCTAAAAAAGTTGCCTACCTACTCCTGACCCTTCAAACCTCTATAAATTTGCTTTTTATTCTGAAATATGGGAAAGGAGGGTATCGTTCTAGTTACAGCTCGCAGAAGTGACATAGGAAGCAGTCAGCTTCTTGAATGGTAGCCAGCAGCAAATAAGAAGGCAGTGGATTCCCCTGGAGATGGGCACAATGGGACTCATTCATCACACTAGGCAGCAAAAGCGCAGCTGCAGGCTGAACTAGCTACAGCTTCTCCTTGGTGCCAAGCAGAAAACACAACTGCAAGACAAACTCAAAGAGATTGCCAGGTGAGGAACAGCCAGCCTATTCAAGCACAGT